TTAAGAAGTTGGGAAAAAGAGGGTATGTGGCAATTTTTAGACCATTGGATTTAGGGGTTTTTGTTATTTTTCAAATTATAATTTTTTTGTTGTATTTTTGGCCAATTTTCCCATATATCAATGTAATGAACATCAATGGTGATAACTAAGGTTGCCGAAAGTGCAACCTCTCTTTCCTCTTTTCATATTAATCAAAGCATTATTTTGATCTTGAAGACAAACTAAAGTTTTCTCCTTTTACTTTTGTTCTTGCATTATGAATAAAGCTCTTTGATGAGCTACTAGATTTGCATCTTCGTTTTCTATCACAATAAAGTTCTTCGAGCTCAAATCTATCTTGGTTTGAGCTCAAAGAGCTTTATTGTGATAGAAAACGAAGATGCGAATCTAGTAGCTCATCAATGAGCTTTATTCATAATGCAAGAACAAAAGTAAAATCTAACGAAGAGTGCTTAAACCCTAGAAGGTTGAAGAGAAGAGCATCGTTCGGTTCTAAACGACATCGTTTTGTTAGAGTAATTAATTATCTGTTGTAAAACATAAATTAAATTAAAAAGTTGACCCAAAAAAAAAACATAAATTAAAAGATAGGCTTTTTTGGTGAATAACCAAAAAAAAACATTTAAAAAGTTAGGAAAAATGGGGTATGTGGCAATTTTTAGACCATTGGATTTAGGGTTTTTTATTAGTTTTCAAATTATAATTTTTTTGTTGTATTTTTGGCAAATTTTTCCTTAAAAGATTTTGTTTATTATTATGATTGTTCTTGCAAACCTGTATTAAATTCATTAGAATAGTACATTGATTGCTTACCGATAAATTCATGATATTAAATAGTTCAAACTTCAAAACCATGAAATTTAACATACAAATATAAAGATATAGTATATTTTTGCTTGTGATAAAATATATTTTTGCTTGTGTCTGATTATCAATCAAGTTCGGCGGCTGCTGCTATAGTCATAAGGATGGGTTCCTTGTTCGATCCCGTGGAAATCCGTGGATTAGCACATTTGCTGAAACATTACACATTAAAGACATAAGTTTTCTTCAACAGTTGCAGAACCAATACGAGCCTCCTCTTCTTTTAGTCATCCATTGTGTTCAATATCGATGATTCTTTTGATTTCTTGAAGATCGTTCCAAGATCCAAGATTCTTCATTGACATTTTGATCCATTCCCTTACTTGATTCTGTATTCTGTGTTGTTTTTTAAATCATCACATTGATATCTTAAATTTGCAGTTGAAGATAGTCCACGAACGTCCGTCGTTGAAGTAGTGACAAGACTGTCCATAGCTCCAAAAGATGGGTTTGACTTTGAATCAATCGAAAATTTTTCATTTTGAGATCAACCAAGATTGTTGTCATTAGGTTCCAAAACCACCAGACATATGACTGTTTATTGGTCGACCAGACAATGCAGCTAATGTTTGTGGATGTATTTTTCCTGAGGAAACTGGAGCTTGAATGTTTTCATATCTTTTCATAGACTATGTGTCACTACTCTGCGAAGCTATTACACCGCTTAATCTCTTCACATACAATCAGAATTTCTGCAATCATTGATTCAGTCAAGAAACCTTAAAAAGAGCCTTAACAAGAAAGATTCATTCAATCGATCAAACAAACAAACCTGTAAATGACTAGCGACATTTTCTCTGCTTAAATCAGGAGCATTCATCAATTCGAGAATCCGCTTTGGTACAGCTTCTGAAACATTATAGGATAAAAAATTTCAAGCACAAATTCTTAAATGTATCTCAAAATTGCTTACTGAAAACCTTAAAGGGCTAAACATCTCCAATCTCAATCACAAATAGGCAAAAAAGCCTTTTTGGACTAACAAAATCAAAATGATACATAACTCAAGACCAATGATCTATTTAGTGGGGTTAGTTTTGGACAACAAGGATTAGAAGAGAATACAAAGGTGAAAACCACAAAGTTATGAGAGAGTAAAAAATTAACCACATTGTGTAGCCATTTAGTTTTAGCGATGAGTTTCCTCATAACCGGTTTTGAAAATGTATAGACTCCAAACTGAAAAAATTATAAACCCTTTACAAAACAAAATAAAATGAATGATTCGAATTTCCATTGTATAGCCATTTAGTTTTAGCGGTGAGTTTATATCAAACCCTACATATATATGCCTGAAACTAACTTACTTAACGAATACTATGAGAAAAAATGAGGCGAACATTTACTATTTTATAGGAACCAAAAGCATATGCTTGGCTTACTTCCCTTTAATGTCGGTTTTGTGTTTTCTATTTCAGGCACATGTGAGAAAGCTGGAGTTCTTGATTGCATTTCTTGTATGCAAGAAAATGGTGAAAAGAAAAAGATTGAAGATATCAAAGAAATCCATAAACTAATGTCAAAATGATATACTAGTAACCAAAACATGTACTAGCTTTGAGTATAGAGCAAAAGCATATAGTGATTGTGAACACAAGAAATGCAACCTAGAACTTCATCTTTCTCACCGTTTCCGGATTCTACTTCATTTCTCATGAACGCACTTTCTCTTGCAGCCTCGCTAATCCTATGGCCAATGAGGCATAGATACAAGGAAACAAGAAACCACAAACATGATGAGAGAAAGTAGGACTTGTGTGTGTGAATACATGGACGCATCAGTAGAGAGAGAGGTGCGTATATGGTGACTCACCAAGACGTGTTTATGGGTCTTATTCGCATGATTTTTTCCATACCTTTTTTTTTTTGGGCAAACGATTTGATTGATTAAAGAGGCCTTAGCCCATTACAGATGTTAGGCCCAGTTTTGCCAACATATCAGCTTTTGTATTAGCCGATCGGGGAATAAAGTTAAACACAACCGAAACAAACAAGCTTGAGCAAATCTTAATATCTTCGATGATCCCGCGAATGATCGCGCGGATTAGTTTCTGCGAGTCAGAATTGAAGATAACTTTTGTATGATTCAAGGCCAAAGCTTGAAGATCGTAGCGCCAACCCTTCGGCTACCAAGGCCGAGGAGACGTTAAGGCACGCCGAGGAGTGTTCCATGATGGGGATTGCAGAGTCCACCCGATCCCAGCCATATCCGAATCAGCCCTCCACGCTGCATCGGTAAAACAAACAGAGAATCCGTCCAACTTGGATCGTGGATTCTGAAAATGGGTCGACGGTATCTCTACCGTAGATTTGCCTTGTGGATGGTTTCAGCAGCCGTGAAAATTCTGTTGCTAAAGACCAACTGGTTCCTAGCAATCCACAGGTTCCAACAAATCCAAGCCCTTCTCAATTCCGAAGGGTGGTGCTGTGAACAATTCCCTCACCAGTTCAAGTCCTTTTCCATACCTTTTGTGTTTTTTATTTTACAATCTCAGCAATTTTGTAAAAAGAAGATAGGAGTATTTGATTAATTGGGCCCAATGATCGTTTAATTGTCTGATTATAAAGCCCATTTAGGGTCTAATAATGTTTTATCGACTTAACGGCTAATTTGTCTTTAAATTCTCCTTAGCACAACACTTTTTTTATTTTCAAATTTCTTCTTCTTCTCCTTGTTCATAATTCACCAATTGTAAGGGAAACGAAAATGGCAAATCGGTTACAGAGACACAGCCGGTGAATCCAACTCCGCCGGAGACCCGCTCTTCCCGTGGCTTATGTAATTCCTTGTTCTCCTTATCTTACTGATTATAGTGTGTATGTGTCAAAGTTGTTTCTTAATCTCGACATGTGTTTGGGATTTTTTGTCTTTTGATTTCAGGAAGATCCAAACTTCAACGAAAGATTAAAAAGGAGTAGCTGTCCGTGATCATTAACATCTAATAAGGTAAATCTCCATCTTGTTTTTATATCTGTTTTAAAAAGAAACAATCTGAAAAAATTGATATGTTTAAACTTTTTAATTTGTCCAAAATTACCTTTATGATGTAGATCCATAAATCTTGGTCAACTTTCATTTTTATCTCGAGCATTGTTTTTTTTCTTTCCAATTTGTTAATGTATGGATAAAATAAAGTGTTAAATTTGGCTAGTTTCTTTTGTGTTCTTATATGTTTTACATTGATTTATAATTGATTTCAGGAAAATGTTGCTACGCGGCTGGCCCAAGGACGCATGAGAATCAGGCGGATAACATTAGAACCTAGGTAGTTATTTGTTTTTACATCTATACTATTTTTTAAATATATTATCGGGTTTTTAGAGAAATTTAAGTGATAATTTTATAAATGTGGTGTGAAAACAAACCAAATATGATGTCCTGTCATTAATTTGTCCGTTAGCGATGTTATACGTGATCACACTATATTGTAAATTAACACTTAAGTTTTTGTATACATTTTATCGGATTTTTAAAAGAAAATTAAATGATAAATTTATAAATGTGGGGTTGAAAACAAATGGAGTATGGTGTCCTGCCATTAATTTGTCCGTTAATCATATTTAGTATGTGATCACACTATATTATAAATTAACACTTAAGCTTTTTTGTACGTATTTTATCGAATATGTTTGTAACAATATTTTTGTTATGATTTGT